AATATAAATAAATAAAATTTTAAATAAATAAATTTCTAAATATAAATAAGTAAACTTTTAAATAAATAAATAAATATCTGAATAAATACGAAAATTACGAAAACTGTCGGTATAAAAAAAAGACCAAAAAAAAAAAGACCTGATATCAAAACTGTCGATAATAAATCCATTCTGAGTCAAAATTTAAAGTTCTGTTATACTTATTACCCAACTGTTACTATAATTATTGTCCCATTATAATTTTTTCATAAGAATTAAGATTTTCAAAAAATTTTAAATTCTAACCTTTTTGAAATTAAACAACTTATAAAAAATTATGTTAAAAAACATGAAATTTAACTAAAATTCTTCTTTAAATTAATTTTTTTAAAATATAATTTTTGAAAAAGTTATTCTTTGAGAATTTTCATATTTATTTGTTTACAATTAAATTTTACGTAAAAATTTCGATTATTCGAAAATTTTTCAATCAAAAATATAATAGAAAATAAAAACTTCAAATAACTTAAAAAAAAAATTAAACAGCACAGTTTTCAGTTAAAAGTATAAAAAATTCAAACATTCAAAAATTATAATTTGAAACCTTTTCCAAATTCAATTATTTCGAAAAATTCACGCTATAATATTTTCTCCCTAAATTTGAATTAGTAAAAATGTTTATTTATTGGAATTAGTGATCGACTTTTTGCTTTTGAATTATTATATATATATATATATATATATATATATATATATATATATATATATATATATATATATATATATATTAGAAAATTCTACGAGAATTCAATTATTTAAATACAAAAATAAATAATTCATTGAAGAATTGAATGTTATTTAAAATTCAACTCTCATAAAGAATTTTTTAAACAAATTTTTAAATAGATAATTAAAATTCTTTTAACGAATTTTAATAACATTTTTAAGTATAATTTCATTTTTCCAGAAATTAGATTAAAATTGTATTAAAAATAATTGAATCTCTGTAAAAAATTTGATTGAATTGAGTAAAGTTTTTGAAAATAATTGAAATTTTGCCAATAATTTTATTAAAATTTTTGAAAATAATTGAATTTTGGAGAAAAAGTTTATTATTTATAAAGAAAATAGAAATAATTGAATTCTTGAGACGAATTTTAATAATATTTCTTTTTAAATAATTCAATTCTTTTGTGAAATTTTATTGAAATAGTATAGATATTGAAAATAATTGAATTTTGATAAATTATTGAAATTAATTAAATTTCTACTGAAGAATTTTATTAAAATTATTTTGAAAAAAAATTGATTTGTTGAAAAGAATGTCATTAAAATTTTTGAAAATAATTTAATTCTTTCTAATTCTAATAAATAAATTATAGGAAGGCTTTTTAAAATAATTGAATTTCTTTGATGAATTTTAATAAAATTTTTAACAAATCAAATTTTTTTTTAATAATTAAATTCTTTTGGAAAATTAAATTATTGCGAAGAAAAATTGTAAACAAAAGTCTTTTAAATTTGAATTAATTTTGAAATATTTAAGAAAAATTAGAATACAAGAAAAAGCACAATAACTTTAGAAAACAATAATTTTTCAGGATTCCGATCAAAATTCTCTACTTTTCCAGGTTTTCTCAAGGTTTATAAAAACTCCCTGGCATTTACAGATTTTCCAGGTTGCGTGCGGCAAACCCTGAATTATTTTCAATATAATTTTTGAATAGTAATTTTTTTTTCGAAATTGTAATATTTTTTTATTTTGAAATCGTACAATATAACCTGGTTGTATAAAACTTTTGACTAATTTACAAAAACAAAACAACGTATATTAAATTTTTTCAAACGCAGTCTATTACTTCAGAACCTAAACTATGTGCCTCAACCATTTTTTTTTCGAATTTGACCCCAAAAAACATATCTAACCTTATAATCTATTACTGACTGTCGGTATAGTAGAAATTTTCCATTCTCTACTCTCCAAAACATTTTTCCTACTTTGGGATCCCTTTAAGGATAATTAAATTGTACATTTTACATTTTTTTTTACATTTTTTTTACATTTTACATTTTTTGTACATTTTCCGCTATAAAATACTTATTATTTTCCGCACTGTTTTTGATATATTAAAAAGAAAGGAGAAAAAAAAATTTGGGCCACTAATCGCACGATAACGACCGTGACTATGCATGAAAGTGAACGAAAATATACTTATTTTTGTATATGTATTAAAAAAAAAAAATAAACCTCGTCGTGCACCCGCGCCAGCGATCGTTCCTAAGAAAAAGGCGTGGATACTTTTCAGTTGAGAAAGGATACGCGATAAATATTAAAGTTCTTATAAAACGCCAAAGTTGTGACCACGCGCGGGCACGCTATCGCTTCATTTAAAATGCAAATTTTCCCAGGCTATATGGCGTGAACCACGGTGGCCCGAATTATTCCAATTACCTTATGAAAGCTTAGCCGCTAGTTCGACGATATAGAAAGAGAGAGAGAGGGGGGGGGAGATAAAAAACTATGCGTGTAGGTACCTTTCGTGCGTAGCCCTCTTTCCTTTTTTTCAAAGAAAAATAATAAAATCCTCCTCCCCCCTCCCTCCCATCACTATACGGTTCCCCCGTCACCTTTTTTTACTCCACACGCCAAATTTGAAACGGGAAGCTGTTAAAAAAATTTTTTTATTACCGATTAACTTATACCTATTTTCAATATATACATATAGGTACATTTAGATACGCCTACGTGATTTATTTTTAAAAATTATGCTAAAATATTGGCTACCATATACTAATCGTTTAGGCGTTAATCGCGGTTGTTGCATCGTTATTAACGCATAAAAAGATATTACTCATCCTTGAAATGATGTTATACAAGTAATTTAAAATATTCAGTTAATGTAACTTAAAATATATTCAATAATATAATATATTTAATATTATATAGTAATTATAATTATGTAGGTATAATATATAAACTAAATAAGATTTAACGAATTCGACCTTCATATTGGGTCCGCCATTTTGAATTTTGAATATCCGTTGGCAGATCCTGAATGTTTGGAAATTTTTAGAAACGAACTGAAATTTTCCTAAATTCTATTGGGAAAAACATTTTTCCTATTTCAAGTATATAAAAGCATTTTTCTAAATATTTCACGGGATTTTACTAAATTTTTGGCATTTTTTTTTTATAATATTATAAGGAAATTTTTCTAAACATTAATGGAGATATTTAAAAATTTTTGGCCATTTTTTTTTATAATATTATAAGGAAATTTTTCTAAACATTAATGGAGATATTTAAAAATTTTTGGCAATTTTTCTAATATTATACTTTAAGGGAAGTTTCCTGAATATTCATAAATAGGGAATTTTCCAAAGTTTTAGGAATTTTTCTATTTTATTACATGGGAATTTTTCAAAATATTTATGAAATTTAAAATTATTACCTCTTTGGAATTTTTTTTTTAATTTTGTCCGGAAAATTATCTATATAAATAATTCATGGAAATTACTTCCTATAAACTTTTTTTTAGAAAATTCCTGAAATGTTTTCTATATACAGTGAAATATTTTCAAGTGAATCTTAAACTGTTTTAATACAAAAATTCGTCATGTTCGATTCCTCATTTTTAATTTTGAAAATCTAATGTCAAATTAGCATTTAACAACCCAAAAAAACTCCAACTAACAAATTAAAAGCGGTTCTAATTAATTACACGCATTTTTTTCCTCAAATTTATGTATAGAAATATTTTCAATAATATTACAATATATTAATAATTAAAAATATCACCCCTAAAATTTATACGTCTAATAAAATTAAAAGTATCATCCGAAAAATTTAGAATTAATAGCATTAAAGTATTGTCATTACTAAAAATTTAATCCGTTACATTTAGAACTAAAAACATTGAAGTTGTCATTATTAAGAATATAATCTATACTGTAACATAATTAGAAGTAATAAGATCATTAAGGATGTTAGGCTATAATAGAATTAAGAAAATCATTTATAACATTTAGAACTGATATGAACATTAAAATGTTAGGCTATTAATAGAATTAGGAAATACAATCCATATAACATTTATAACTTTTAAGAACATTAAAGTTGTCATTATTAAGAAAATAATTCGTAACATTTAGAACTAATAAGAACATTAAACGGTTATAGGCTGATAGAATTAGCAAATAGAATCCGTAACATTTATATAACTTTAAAAACATTGAAGTTGTTATTATTAAGAACATAATCTGTAACATTTAGAACTAATAAGAGCATTAAAGATGTCAGGTTAATATAGAATTAAGAATATAATTCCTAATATTTATATAGATCTACTAAAATTAAGAGTAAGATTTAGAACTAATAGAATCAAAGTTGTCATTATTAAGAATACAATCCGCAACAATTTACAATAAGTTACAAAGACTTAATTCTATTAGCCTAACATCTTAATGTTCTTATTGTAAATTTTGCGGATTGTATTCTTAATAATAACAACTTTGATGCTATTAATTCTAAATTTTACGGATGATGTCCTTAATATTATTAGCATAACATCCTTATAATGTTCTTAGTTCTAAATTTTACGGATGATACTCACAATTTTATTATAGAATCTTTAAATCTTTACTTATGCTATATGCAACAGGGCCATGTAACCAATCAGAAAAAATATCTTTAAATGTTATACGGATTATATTCTTAATTGTATTAGCCTAACATCTTAATGTTCTTATTGTAAATGTTATGCGGATTGTATTCTTAATAATGACAACTTTGTAACATTTAAACATCTAATCAAATTAAAAGCATCATCCGTAAAATTTAGAAAAGAGCATGGATCTAACCTTATTCTTAATTAATGAAGAACACCATCCGTAATATTTAGAACAAAGAATATTAAAGATTTTAAGCATAATAGTTCAAACTAATTAGCATTAAAATTTTCATCCAAGCACAAGAAATATTTTTAAAAAATAAGGATCAGAATGGATTAAACAAAACTCACCTCACTACTGCTTCCAATCCAATCTGCTCAGCACAAAAAAAAGCCTCCTTATCAAAGTCCTCAGAAACATATGAAACTTTCTTCAATTCCTCTAAAACTTTTCCAATCCTCTCGACATTTGAAGAAACCTCCAAAAAGTGGATTATTATCAACAATTAACTTCTTTTTAAACTTTCAAAAGAAACTTGAAATTTAATTAAATTTTCGTTTAAACACTAAATTGTCAACACACCAATGTTCATCAATAGATGTTAATAAATTCACTTGAAGAAAACCGAGAAATGTCCCCACGTGGAAAAGAGCGGCCCACGTGAAGGGATCCGTGACCCGAAAGGATGCGTTTAGTCGAACGACTGTGAAGTGATCTCTCAGGGATCTCCGATGTATCTCCTCCTCATCATTATCGTTGTCGTCATCATCATCATCAACATCGTCATCATCCACCGAAGAGCAATGTGGAGGGGTTGATAGAAAGAGAAAGAGGGGAGAGAGGGATAAGGACGCGAAACTTAGGAAGGCGTGTCTCTCGTTTCAGGAGCAAAAGTTCTTGTTGTTGTTGTTGATGTTGTCGAATAGAGTGGGGAGAGGACGAAACTGTTTTTGGGAAGCGGTCCACGCAAAGGACACGGCTCGTCTGCGGAGTGGTCGTCGGCAGTTGAGGCAGCGGTAGCAAAAAGGGGGTTACGGATTTTGCGTTTCGATTTGGGTACCCCGCCGCCACTACCGTCACCCGTGTGTATAGGATCCCCGAGAGCGTGGTCCGTGAACCGTGAGGAATGAGGCGACGCTGTGCGGTCGCGTGCTGGATAGATTATCGGGGTGTTCGCCTGCCACTTGTATATGTATGGTGAGACTAAAACCCAAAGTCACCGCCTAGCTCCCTCAATAGTTATATACACACACAAGGTTACCACCACTTTTCCGAGCAGGCGTGCTAGCTTCCTCGGCTATATAAAACACAAACCCAAGAAGGGGGTTTCTAATTCTCAACCCTATTTCAATTTTTTTTATAGTATATAAGTAACGTCCTCTTCTTTCTTCAGAATTCCTCAAAAGAAGAAGTTTTTGATCTAACCTTAAAATATTCTTAAGAAATTCTACGTGAAAATGACTCTCAAGATATTCATGACCAATTTCCGAGAATTTTAAGGAAACTTTTTGGGCATAATTTTTAAAAATTTAAAGGCAATTCCTTGGAAGTTATTTCGCAAGATTTCCCGGGTAATTTCCTGCAATAATTCCCAAAATTTTCCAGAGAAATAACTCCAAAAAGATTTAGGAATAATTTCCGAGAATTTCAAGGAAACTTCTTGGAAAATATTTTTTAGAAGTTTCCCCAGAATTTCTAGAAAATCCAAAAGATTTCCCAAAAAATTACCTGCAATAATTCCCGAGAATTACCAAAGAAATGACTCCAAGAAGATTCACGAATAATTTCCGAGAATTACATGGGAGTTTCTTGGAAATAATTTTTCAAAATTTCCAGGGAATTTCTAGAAAGTTATTTTGCAAGATTTGCAGAGAACTTGTGGAGAAATTTCATGTAATATTTCCTAAAATTTTTCCGTGAATCCCTCTGAAGTTATTTCACAAAATTTCTCAAGAAATTCCCTTGTAAAAATTCCCGAAAATTTTTTGAAACTTGTTTTACAAAATTTTTCGAGAATTCCCTTAAAATAATATCCAAAAAATTTCCTATTACTATAATTCGTGAAAATCTTCCAGTATTTTTTTGGAAGAGAACGTAAAAATTTTCTTTGGAAATTTTATGTGAAAATGACTCAAGATGTTCATGACAAATTTCCAAGTATTTTAAGGGAACTTCTTGGGAATATAATTTTTGAAAATTTCCAGAGAATTTCTAGAAAGTTATTTCGCAAGTTTTCCCAAAAAATTACTTGCAATAATTCCCGAGAATTTCCAGAGAAATGACTCCAAAAAGATTCATGAAAATTTCCAAGAATTTCAAGGGAACTTCTTGGGTTAAATTTTTGAAAATTGAAAGGGAATTTTTAGGAAGTCATTTCACAAGATTTCCCCTGAAATTTCCATTAATAATTCCCAAAAGTTCCCAGAAAAAAGACTCCAAAAAAATTCAGGAAAATTTCAAGGGAATTTCTTGGGAATAATTTTGTGAAAATTTCCAGGCAATTTCTCGAAAGTACTTTCGCAAAATTTCATAAGATATTACCTGCTATAATTTCCAAGAATTTTCAGAGAAATGACTCCAAAAAGATTCTTGAATAATTTCCTAAAATTTTAAGGGAAATTCTTGGGAATAATTTTTGAAAATTTAAAGGGAATTTCTAGGAAGTCATTCCACAAGATTTCCCGTGAAATTTTTTGCAATAATTCTCGAAAATTTTCTTGAAAGCTGTTAGAAAAAACTTTTTTGAAAATTCCCTTAAAATAATTTCAAAATATTTTCTACAATAATTTGTAAAAATCTCCCGATAATTTCTTGGGAGACATAGTAGAAAATTCTTGATAATTTCTCGATAATATTTCTACAGTAAATAATATTTCACGGAAATATTTAGGAAGTAATTTCACGAAGATCCCCAATCAATAAACCTAAAAAATTTCATCAGTTTAAAGAAAAAATTCTCTATTTTGATTGAAAAATTTTTCTCCACAATTTTTATATTCCGAACGTTTTGTATTTTCGTCACATACACCTAATGAATTAATTTTGCTGTTATGCCTTAATTATTATAATATTTCGCAAATTTTACAAGTAAGGTATAATTGATAACTTTTAATGATGACATTAAGAACATTTGGATAATTAATTCTGGAAACTGGTTTTTTTCCCTGATTCGACATTTCTTGCATGGTTGAGGCATGTAATTCCACCTCTGTTTTTGGGGAGTTAACGACTTGATAGAGAGAGAGAAAGAGCGAAGAGAGGGAGAGTACATGTGAAATTCGACATGCTGATGAGATGAGGGGGACACAGCAAAAGGTGCATCGGAACGAATTGCGGAAGAAGGCGTGCGTACAGACTTGTTCCATCCCTTCAACAACAAAAAAAAACCGCCTCTGGCAATGTCTACTTTCCTCAAAAATATGTTTTCGTTTTTTCAATTTTTGTACAAAATTGTAAAATTTTCAATGGAATAGATTTCCTAAAGGGACAACATTTTCTAATGACACAATTTCATGAAAAATTAGTTAGGTTACAAAAAATCCCAAAGAGAAATTAAAAATCCAGGTAAAAAGTTTTGCTAACTGCTGTTGATAACCAAAGATCTTCATCAGCAGAAGACTCAAAATGATCGTGGTTGTAATTGATACGTTCCATTCGGTCGATTAAACTATCACGCATATCGCATAAATTGTTATGCATCACGATTTTCTAACGCCGCGCTGTTATTTGATTACAGAAATTAACTCTACGGATACATTCCTCAAGATAAAATTATTTACCAATCGTAAATATTGGCTAAATGATCTGCACATAATGATAAATTGAAAAATGTCACAATCCACATCATAGAGGAATATACGAAAAATAAAATTCTCCGCGTACTCTTATAATAGATTGGTTTCAACAAATGATATAACGATTCTGAAAAATTTCACGAATCTCGAAAATGAACCACTAATTTGACCCATGGCAAAATGCTCCTTTCCGTTACGTGGAATTGTAAGGGTTCAAAAAAAAATTTTTACTTCTAAGAAGTCGCGAGCCGAGAGAGTTGCTTGATTTGGGTTTAGAATAACATAGTCCTTGCGGGTGTTTTGTGTTTTTTTTTCATTTTAGGTAGATACGGTCACGCAGGTCTTGTGCGCCTCGAAAGAAAGCGATTAGATGACTCTTGGTATATAGTAACCAAAAAGGCGCACCATCCCATCGTGCAAAGGGCATTTTAGCAATTTACCAGCACACAAGACAATGTGGCAGTTCCAAGATTTGAAGCGTGCCATTACACCTGCGTTCCTTTCCATAGTACCAACTCCTCCTCATCATCATCATCATTATGATTGTAATATTTTTTTCTACGGATTATTCACCGCGAAGATCAGATATACCTCTGATTAGTTAAAGTTTTCTACGGTATCACTTATTGCTAATACTATTTTTAAATTCAGAAAAGTTACTTCTTTCCAAGTAATCTCGATAAAAAAGCAAAAAATTGATGATTATCATCATTTGAATAATCGTAAAATGACATTGACTTATTTGCATGAAATCTGATTCTTTACTTATTCATAATTATTGTTGTCGAAAATTTGTGTAACAGTTCCTGGTCATTTTCTGTTGTATTGTAATTTTGTTCTGCTTTATTTAATACTCTTGAAATATAGCAACAAGGATGTTCATCTTGAGAAAGTATACAGCTCCTATTCTTACATTACTGGCATGCGTTGTCAAAACAAATCTTTTACTATAAAAATCTGGATATTGCAAAACTGGTGATTTACAAAGAAAATCTTTTAATAATTCGAAGTTTTTACTACATTTTTTAGACCAATCAAAAATAGTTCCTTTCGCTATTAATCTTTATAATAGTTTAGCTACTATATGCGCAAAATATTTAATAAACTTTCTGTAATATCCAACTGGTCCTAAAAATGATTGTATATCTGTCACGTTTTTTGGTTCTTTAACATTTTGAATTGCTTGTACTTTTAAAGAATTTGGTGATAACATGTCCCAAATATTCTAATTCTGGTCGAAGGTATTTACACTTATCCGGTTGTTATTTAAATCCGAATATTTTTACTCTTTTTCAAAATCCTGGAGTAGCATAACCCCTTAAGATAAACGCGACAATTACAAAACAATTCTCAACAAGAGACGTGAATGGAAAAGTAGATTAGAAATTAAATCGCAGCAGCACTTACCGACCTTTGAAAGAAACGCAATTGAAATAATTATAAAACCTTTATTGACGAGAAAAGATTATAGAAAAGGAGATTAGGAATTGAAACAGATTCCAATGAGAGATGAAGTATCTTATCAAGTGGAAAATTATCCCTGAAAAATGTGGTTTGGTCATTTTCTCTCTCTGACTCTTGGATGGATATAAAAGGAAACCGAAGGACGATGTTAGACTGACAGTTGGCACACCGCAAAATACGAATGTGTATATGTAGTCGAGAAGCGATGATCCGTAAACGAGTGCAACCTGTCTTTGAAACAAGCTACAGAGTTGTTGGCACACAATTACTCCACAGGGGGCAGTTAGGAAGTTTGGGGTCCTCGTGTTTATTTGTCATTGGACACCCAATACATTAAAAGGCGCCACCGACGAGAGGGACTCTCAATTCCCATTAGGGGACTACTGCTCTATTATTTTCATTCTGATGTGGTTCTGTAAACGATCTACTAGAGCTCGACGAAAGAGTTCTAGAGTCCCGGGAATCGAAGGTCTTTTTATCGTCATCTTTCTTAGAAATGCACTAGGAATACTTCTAAGGAAAATGATGATAAAAAGAACTAAGCAAGACGTTTGTTCTGAAGAAGCAATTTTGTTCTAAGATATATGACTTAACTTCTCTAATTTTTACCTCTTTTCTAAAATCGACCCTTTTGTATTGTAAAAAACGAAAATTAAAATACGAATCATAATATTCAACTCAAGAAAGAATATTTTGAAAAATTATTCATCATATAATATGAAAATTTTTTCGATTGACAATTTTTATACAAAATGTTCCACAATCAATAGCAAACATATTTTCTCTCATTAATCCCATAATTGTCATTCGATTTTTCCATTTGTTGGACAATAAAATAAATGTCAATTCCCAGAGATGTAGATATGGTACAGGCCTTAACCTTTAAAATTTGTTTATAT